GCCAACACTATGTTTGCAACACTTATCAAAGGTGTTGCTTGTAGTTTACAGTGACAACACTTCTTTTAAATGTTACTTAAAAGGTAGTTTTATACAACATAATTAAGTCATCACTTGAATTATGTCACATTTGCTATATTATATACAACGCTTATGACCCAAATCACTATCCCTCTTGTAAGATTTATATAATGTATTTGTAATTAACGTAATTATTATAGAATGGTTTACGTATATATTTCACAGTGTGTGGTCTAATAATAAAATCAAGTTAGGAAAATTTCATAATGAGATAGTTGTCTTAAGGGAAAACCTTATGGTGAAGTTGCATGTAGGTGATGGAAAATAATTATGATAAAATTGGATGCAAAGTATAAAAAAATTTAGGTGAACAGTGGAAAGCACGACATTCAAAGTACCGAGCTAGTTGTCTAAAGGGAAAAATACTTACAGTGAATTTGGGTGAAGGAGATGGAAAAAGAAAAAAGTTGCATAAACAAACTAACTAGCTTCAACCCTGCCCTTTGGGCAGATAGTATTTTTAATCTTTTACAAAGTAATTTATAAATATATGAAATATCATTTTTATTATTATTTTGATATTGATTATAACGATATTTTAGTCAAAATTAGTAAAAAGTCCCCATAAACTTAGCAACCTAAATCATGGAGGAAATGTTGACATCATACTCATTTCAACAAACATATCATGCATAGGCCAAAACTATTACATTTTATATGAGTCAATCAATCAATCTATAATATAATATCTATACAATAAAAATCATGATGTATATTGTAACTATTAATTAACAATACATCAAAATAATTTATAGCAAAACATATTAAGCATTGAAAATTTGAATTAAAAAATGGTTTAAGAAGCATTCTTTAAACCATAAAAAGCAAACTACTAATCAACACTCATATGTCACAAATAATCAAATATATAGAACGTGATGTCAAATTCCCATTTCCAAGTTACATTTTAATTCATCAACTATATTAAATAAACACATTCATAAGCCATTGGTGTTGTTCCAGTGTAGAGAAACCTAAAACAAAAGAACAAAAACCAACAAACCCCAGCAGCATTCCTTGAAGGCCAAGCGGCTGGGCGGAAAATAATCGACGTAGCCTGAGAAAGGAAAGTTCAAATCTACAAACTTGCAGATTGGCAGCGGGATAAGGAAGAAGACTCCTCCTCGGAGAGAGTCCCATCTGGCTGAAAAAACGGTGCCTGCGCTTGCAGACTGAAGAGCGCTCGGAGATCCAACCGTCGTCGTTGGAGAAGAAGCCTGATTAGGATTGAGATCGAGAAGTATGATTAGCAGCGGCAGATTTTTGGAGTTGCGGGAGCGGGTGGAGGATAAGGGAGGAGAGGGAGGGATCGAAGTCGCGTTTGGAAGATTCCCTTGTGATATGCGAGATATAAGGGAAAAGAAGAAGAAAAATTAACCACTGTACTTCTGTTCCATGGTATCAATACCCAAAACAAAAACGAAACCGTGGAAAAAAAAAACTGTCGCCATTTAAAAGGAAAGATGAAGCAGTTGCTGTGAAATACAAAAGATAAAAAAAAAAATTTGAAATTGTACCGAACTTTGCGGGGAAGCATTCTTGGAGAAACCCTTTTATATTTTTTATAGATAGATAGATAGATAGAAGATATAGAAGATGCTTCGGAAAAAAAATCTCATGGTAAAATGGGATATAGCGTATAAAAAATATGGTAATAAAACTGGGTGTAGAGTATTAAAAGTCCGGTGAACAGTGGAAAATATCACATTCAAAGTGCCGAGATAGATGACTAAATGAGAAAACGTTAAGTTAAAATTGGGTGAAAGAGATGGAAAACAAAAAAGTTCATAAACAAATGACTGAGGATAAAAAAAGGAAACAAATTTAATAATCTTTCTAAGTTTTAGTACGGAATAGTGATTTTAACTTGAAGATTTATATATCACCATAAACAATAATATATATTGATGGATTTATCGTAACTTTAGCAAAATTAAAGGTATAGCTAAACCTTGAATTAAACGAAGTTTGAGACTTGAACTATACCCTAACTTGAAAAGATTAAAATCTAGGTCTTCTTCTATTAATCTCATACACTAAGGTAAATTTAATTGAAAAAATAATAATCAACGGTCATGTTTTGTCGAAATACACCCAAGAAATTATATGCACAATCTTAGTGTTTAGGATATTTGATTTACATATTTAAGACTTAGGGTTCACTCATCAACGGTTAGGGTATAGTATCGTGCCCAAAATTAGGTTAATTCAATGTCTATATATCATTTTCTTACTCAATGTACGTTATACTTTTGATTTTACTCAAAATACGATAGAAAGTAAAGATCAAAATCTAGATAACTAAGACCTAGTGCTCACTCATCAAGGGTTAGGGCAGCGGCGGATCCTAGGGGAGGCCAACCTGGGCCCGGGCCCAGCCCTCTTTGGCTCCACAGCTTGTTCAGAGCCCTCCTCCACCTTTTTTTGCCCATTAATAATCGGCCTGGCCCAGCCCTCTTTTGTGGTGGTTTTTGTTTATTTATTGAAAATTTTTGATTTGGGTAAAGTGTTTTCGCTAGTGGGCCTTTGAAACAAAAGGGAAGTTGAATTGTCTTAATCATTTACGTCAGATAAAAAGCAAGAGTGGATGGGCTTTAGTTGTGTCTATTAATTCTTGATTAAAAGCCCACTCATTTCTACTTACATTTGAAACAAACAAATCAAATTATCAAACTGCTCTTTAGTTCATCTAGTTCTCAGTTCTCACTAATTTGTCATATGTAGCATTCTAGGTTTCGAAGGAAAAGATCAATCGAAGCCAAGAAGGTCGAGTTGAAGTGAAGCATCACAAAAAATGGTGCTCTCCTAGAATTAGAATAAGAAAGTTAATTAGAAACTTGAATGTATATAATTGTTGTGCTGTTTGATTATGTAGATTTGAATATACTTTATAATGACATATTCTTAAGCACAAAATTAAAAGGTAAAAATAATATTATTTTCTTATTATCCATTGTTTCGTCTAGTGTTGATATTGCCCATTTCAACGGCTACTACGGAGACAACCTTTTTAGCAATGGAACATTGAAAACTGATTTGCGCAATAACTATTTCTTTGAGAAAGTATGCTATTGGTATGGATGAAGACTACATTGTTTATGAATTTGATAAACTAAAAGACTGTCGTATACAATTGACATTATAATGAAAATAATAATAATAATAATTATTGTATATTTTTAAAAAATATATAAGATATCTAATTTTCTATACAAATGCGGCCCAATGCTTTACTAAATCCTGGATCCGCCGCTTGGTTAGGGTAAGTATCAATGCCCAAAATCAGAATAATTCAATGTCTATATAGAGTTTTTTTACTATGAATATACGGTACCCTAAATTTTACCGATAGAAGAGATTATTTTCCGTATTGTTTGCTATTATATGGGACAATGGGTTATCAGATTTGGAATACAACATATTTCGACCATGAAAGGTTGTAATAGTTTGTGCCTGCCCAATATAAGTTAGTATAATTATTTCTATGGTTTCTGAATTATGGGTGTAGCAATGCATGGTTAGCCCACAAACAGCCGAGACTTTTTGTGTAATGAATATTTATTAGTCAATTTTTTTTAATTCTATTTTATTAGCCAAATTTATCGAAATACTAAGAATTAGTCAAATGTTAACTTCCAGATAGCAATTTTGTTAGTAATATTGACTTGGCAAGATGATACTGATTTGAAAGAGACACATGAATGTCAACATTCCAAAATTTTAGTATTTTAACGAAGAAAAGAGTTACAAAATTATTAACAATAACGTAAAAATTGCTAATATTTTGATGCATTATGAAAGATTTGGCTAATTAATAGCATTTTAATAGATTTGGATAATATAAAAAAATATGAAAAAAGGTTTGGATAAAAAATAGACATTACTCGAAAAAATAACTGTCGCGACTCTAGGTCTATCTATCATAGAGCAGACCGCAGAGTAAAAGTTCTTTGATTATGAACATTACCCCTGAGTCAAGTGTTTTGATTAAATAAAAGCTTATGTTATTTTGTACAGTAATTAAACTGGTAATTATACATTTTAGACCCCCAATCCTTGATGATTTGACTTAGTATTTGTCGTGATTAAGGAGAAGGAGCGATTATTGGACCGCCATTTGGAGAAGAAACTGGGACAAGGACAACAAGGTGACATCTGTCACGGTCCAGAGCCCACATGTTATGCCCCAAGTCGTGACATTTGCAGAAGAGGTCGTGAGATTCGATTGAGTTCCAGGAGCTTTTGCACATGTTGCAGGTGCTGCAAAAGTCACGGTTCCAACCATGACAAATACAGAAGAAGTCGTGATTTTGACAAATGCTTACACATGTCATGGCCGGCCAACACATATCGTCACCAACTTAACGGTCAAACATAGTAGTTAACTGTCACCTAAGGTGGAATTAATGGAGTTGGACGGCAAGTGATTATTGATTGAAATGAAACATGAAGTTATTTTTATAGTTAAATGAAAACATTAAAATACTTTTATAATTAGTGTTAGCATGTCGCCACCAATACTAGAAACTTATGCCATTTGAAGTAAAATTTGGTAACGAATTTTAAAATTATAAAAAAGCAAACATATTCCCCCCCCCCTCCATGTATCGATCATATGCAACTTTCCTCCATGTATGAGTTGGAGATTGTAACTTGCTTTGATCATGTCGATGAACATTTTAATTCATTTTATTGGTACAGAAAGCAAAGCCAATCCGAATACACTTGCCGGTCGGGTAAGGCGGACTTTTCTTTCCCCATTACCCGGCCATAGTTGCAAACGATACACAAGGGAAAACAACGCACACATTGAAAACAAAAGATACGAAGAGAAGCGAGGCAGAGACTTTTTCAGTTGCTTCTTCTCAATCCATATGCACGTTAATTAAGCAGTAGTAATCGGTGGGAGAGGATCAATTTCATGCGGTGCCAGAAATGCAGAGCCATTGTCCGACAAAGATAGAATCGCAGTTCATATTAGGGTTGATGCCCAAGAACTGGTCTTGATTCAGCTCAAATTTTTCAACCACAGACGAGCAAGTGTCTCCAGCCTCTACTCCATAAACTTTGTCGCACGAAGCCTCACCTAGAATAGCAGCAGCAGGAGCAATACGACGTGGGATCAGCCCTTTGCCCGGCTTCATGGAAGCTGTCACAATGCAGGTACGTACGTACGTACGTATATCAATGGAGCCAATATGAGCTTACTATAATTACAAGTAGTGCTGTTTGTGAATGGACTTACCAGTAGTACCGAGGACCAAAGTGAAGACGAGGAGCAGATGAAGCGCAGCAACTATGGTGGTTTTGTTGTTCCCCATTGTCATTAATTATGTCTCTGCTTTTCTTTCTCCTGACAATTAATGTAACTCTCACGATTTGTTTTCCTTGTTAATTAGTTGTGTACAATGGATATATGCAGTGGGCAATCTTTATATAGTGGAAAGGTTTTTGGCTCTAATGAGGCTGGTGGAGATAGAAACAAGGAGGCAGAGAAGGGATGATCGTAAAAATGACGGGGTAATGATATGAAAACAAGCAGAACAGACATTCCTATAATATTCGGCGGAGCAACAAGGGACTGAGCTTACAACATTCCGGTCTTTGTCACTCACGGAATCGGATTATTAAAAGGGAGTTTCTCACTATGCGCTTGACCTTCTGGAGACCAGTAATGATCAATCGATGATTGGCTAAATATTGTAAGTATCGTTATATATAACGTGTGAATATCAGTTCTACTGCTTCTATGTCTTAGCTAGCATCGGTCCATATCAAAAGAAGACCAGTTAATTGTTGACCAGAGCTTTTTCATGTACGTACCGGGTTTTCTTTACAATTCTTGTAAGCATAGAAGTGGAGAATTCTACTATATATCAACATGACGTACACCATTTTTTTTTTTGCCATAACATGACGTACACCATTAATTATCAGGTTATTGAATATTACAGCTTTTATTTATGGTCAGCAATTCATTATAATTTGCCTTTTACTTTATTCCGTTGAAGTTTTGTAGTTTCGAGTTCTAGATCCCATATTAATTAATTAATTTACATAAAGGAAAAAACCCGGTTACTGTTCCATAAGAGAGCAATTATGGTGTGGTTATTTTAGTTTTTTTTTATAAATAACTTGTTCATTTTTTTTTTACAACAACTTGTTCATTTTTAGCTTTAACTTGACAACAATTATATTGAACTTAAGCCTGTGGGCCTCGGTTCATAAAATAAGGGCGGGTATTTGTATGTACCCTTATTCAATTGGACTTTAAAATTTGGACTGATTTGTTTTAATTATGGGGTTACGCAGAATTTGCTTTGCTTCCAGATTGTGACTCATTTACGAGCGGTTTGTTTCGTGAATTTGAAAAATGAAAGTTTTGATAAATTTGGATTATGTAAAACTATGGATACCCCTGTTTTGTATATCGATCAATAAATTGGACATTTCTTCTTCTTCGTGTCCCTCAAACCCTTACCAAAGTTACACCCACCCGCACATGCATACAATATCAATTAGCTCCATGAATTTGTGGTAAACACTAGAGGAGGGCACATTGATAATTAATCCAGAGTTTGACATCAATCCACCCAGCACCTGCAAATAACTCGAACTGCACTTATTCGAGTATGGCAATTTTGAGAGTAGTAAGAGTATGGCGATTTTGACAATAGCTGGTAAGAGGATATTGATGGCTTTAAATTTTTTGAACCTCTTTATGTACAAAAGGCGAAGGGTTATGCTGGAGTTAAAATAGTGTACTCTTTTTCCTTATCCGTGATAGATTTGTCCACTCTGTGCTAAAACTTGATTCAATTATTTTCTATTTGGCATAATAAGTATTCTTTACAAAATCTCTAAAAAAGAAGTATTCTTCACAAAAGAACTCAATATATTTGAAGTTATTTGGCATAAATTTTTTGGCTTAGAAGACAACTGGTTTAAAGATTGAGATGAGGTGCAAACATCAATTGAAATCATGGACTTACAAATCAATTTGCCACTCACTCCATTTCTACCGCAATGAAGTGCGGCTTCCTTTTTAGTATCCTTTGTAAAAGAAGAAAACAAAAAAAAAATCCTTTGATCAGTATGAAGAGTTTTAGGGTGCGCCTATGGTGACATGCATGTTACCGTTACTTGCACTTTTCGGTCGACCTCAGTTAGGATTAGGTCGATATAATATGTTGTTTCAGTGTAAAAACAATTTCATGGTGCCTAGTTTGGAGATTCATATCTTACAATTGGCTCTATGAAAATTGGAGATTAATGGCTTGTTTTGAAGCTGGAGTGTCCCTCTACACATTGAAGTGCTTGGGAGCTCGATAGGTAGTCCAGAAGAGCATTTTTGAACCTGATCAAAAAGCTATGCCAAAATAGGGAAACTGCCTTAAAATGGCTAAGTCTGGGAAAGTGTTTGTGAAGCCTACTTTGGAGCTCAATTTGAGAAGCATGGATAAGATTCGAGTCCAGAGGCCTCTACCACATGAAAGTAGGTATGTTTGTCTACAAATTCAAGGCATTGGATGAAATATTGGATATCTGGAAGGCTTCAAGCAAAGGGCTCGAAGTTGCTACGAAATAAGCTGCCTTCTAGCACAAGACTGAAACGACAGATTATGTTGACCTAATCCTATATGAGGTCGAACTAAAAGTGCAAGTTACGGTGACTTGCATGTCACCGTATCAAAGTCCAGAGTTTTATTTTAGACAAAAATTAGGATACAAAACTCCAATCTATAAAACGAAGATATTTATCCGTCCATTAGTTTTATCTAAATGATCCACAATTCATATAGGGATAAGGAAGGACAATTGATAGACCGTTAATTACACATGTTTTTACCCCTGTTCTTACACCGTTTGAGATGTGGTTTCTTGTGTTTTAGGCCGATTTCACGCTAGGTTGTGCTTGTTTATGATATTTCAGGTCCTAGTACGTGAATGGAGGCTTGGGAGCGAGTTTGGGGTCGATTGGACGAAGATCGGACGCGTGGCGAGGTGTTAAGGAAGCCACACGGGCATTCCTGGACATCACACGGCCGTGCAACTCACATTTGTGGCCGTGTGATTTTCGCCGAGAGCAAACACGGGCAGAGCAAAATTCCCACACGGCCGTGTGGGAAGCCTGAAGTTCGACTTATTGATACGCCGCGTTTAGACTCACACGGGCAACTGGGTGAGCCACACGGCCGTGTGGCCTGCCCGTGTGAGTCGGGAAATCTTGGTTTTTCAGCCAATTCCGAGCCACAAGTGAAAGAATCGGATTTTCAGAGCAAAAACAGAGCCCTAGAGAGAGAAAGTGCGAAGAACACATCCTAGAAGCTATCTTGGAGCTGGGTTTCATCAAATCGAGCTTGGAGATCGTCATAGGAGTTCAAATCATCATCCCAGAGCAGATTTTCCTCATCTTTATGAGTATGACTACTCTGATTACTGTTTTTTTCTATCTCTCTATGGAGTAGAACCCTTCTCTCACTTGGGTATGAAGAATCCTAGTTCCTTGTGTTAGGGATTTGATTGTAATGACTTGGGATGATTATACTGTTTGGTTTTAATCGAATGATGCATGTTTATTGAATTGATTGAAGTCTGATCAGCTTTTCTTGATTTATGCTGCAACCTGAGATAGATAGAATCTGATTAGGTTGTTAGAGCCTCTTCATTCGATAGTAGGAGATTGGTTATACGAGAGTTAGCCAGTTTACTGCTTTGTACTGGAATTTAATTCCAGTAGTGGAGTTCTGTGCTCATTGCTTCAGCTTTCTATCCCGGTGAAGACTAGTCGTCTGCCGGGTAGTTAGACTGAGAGGGCTTGGTCAGCTTAAGAGATTCCAAGCTACTGTCGGATCTTCCGCAGTCTAATCAACAGTAAATCAACCCAGGGCAATTACAATTGAACCTAACTAAGGAGCTAGGGGGACTCATTCCCGAGTGACTTCTTCCTGCTTTAGAAAACCGAACCATTTCCTGCTTTCTTACTACTTTTAGTTTTAAACAACAATCACTCAACTTAGTTGGCTAGATAATAGATAATCACGGAGTAAGCAGTAGATCTAGACCCCGGGTTGATAATAGAACTTGCCTGTTACTGCATTCCCGGACTGCGATTACACTTGGTCGCAGTTTGTTGTTGTGTTTTGGTGTGTCAAGTTTTTGGCGCCGTTGCCGGGGACCCTCTAGGTTATTGGGGAAACGTGAAAGTTTGTTACTCTAGCTTTTTCTTTATTGCATTTTATCTCTTCCACCTGTGTGCCTTCACGGGTTGTTTCTGCTGATTGTGTGCAGGTAGTGCATGACCCGTAGCTAGTCGGGAGATCTACTACCATTAGACCAGGAGCTTGAACGAACCTGCAGGAACTTCAAGCGGGCTCTAAAGGCGCGACTGGCTGCGGAGGAGGAGCTATCACAGCTGCAGATCGAAGAAGAAGAAGAGATGGCTGATCTAGAGAACCAGGATGTGATCATTCCAGAGGAGCAGACCATGGGATCCTACTGGACCGCCAGAGCCGCGGACATGAGGTCACCCATTCAACACCCTCATGTCCCAGCCAACAATTTTGAGGTGAGCACCTCAGTAATCACCATGCTGCGCGGTTCAGTGGTGTTCCGTGGCAAGGAGGGTGAGTGCCCCCGATCGCATCTGAGGAGATTCCACGAGCTGATTGATGGAATCAAGATAAATGGGGTCCCAGCAGATGCCATCCAGCTGCGGTACTTCCCATTTACTCTGGAGGGGCAGGCAAAGGAGTGGCTAGACACTCGACCTCCGGGCTCTATCACCACGTTCGCCAACCTGGCGGACAAGTTCCTCACCCGCTACCATCCTCCATCCAAGAGGCTGACCTGCAGAAGCAAATTACCCATTTTGCTCAGGATGAGGATGAGACCATCAGAGATGCATGGGAGAGGTACAAAAGTCTCTTCCTGAGGTGTCCAAATCATGGCTTCATTGATGCTTTCAAGGTGGGAACCTTCTATCACGCCCTCTTCCCAGAAGACAAACAGCTGATTGACTCGGTTTGTGGCGGGAACATGCTGACCAAAACACCGCCACAGCTGAATCAACTCTTTGAGGAGATGGCAGAGAACGGGTATGATTGGGGCACTGCTAGGAGGTCGAGGAGAGCACCAAGCCGGG